GCTGCTAATTTATATAAATAGGCGCTGCAAGATGCGATCGAGGAAGTATTAGATTCGGCGAGACAAGCGAAGCTTCGGAGCGGAATAAAGTGAATCAGTGTGATTAATTGTTAGTGTTTTTAACTTTAATTAGTGTAAAGTAAATTAAATTGTTAATTTAGGAAATTCTATCGGCATTTTTTATTGTCATGAACCTCAAGCTCGTAAAGCAAAGAACCACAAATATGTCAGGGACTGCTAGACATGGGTATCCAAGCTGAAGTGAAAAACTCTTTTATAGAAAAGTAGTCTATAAATATAAGTTTTTATGGTTTAAAGTGCTGTGGGTGGGTGTGGTCGTATGCGACCGTGCGCGATTTGACGGACGCATGCGACTGCATTGGAATTTTGTGTAGATTGAAGGGTTAAAATCGGAACATGGCATTGTTGGTACTACTGTTTATCGGCAGAAGCTGATGGGAGGATAGTACCTCCCCAAACGGACTCCCAGGCAGAGAAATTGTCGTAACACTAAGAAAATGCACTTCTATAATTTTTGAGAGGAATTTGCAGGAAGATTTAGATTTCACACGGCCTCAAAATAACTTAACCTCTCATAAAAGGTTCCTTCACGATGTTTTCCTTCACAACAGAGAGCACGGTTAATAATCACATCTTAAAACTGTAATAAAAATGTCACTAGTTCTAGTGGTAATAGAACTTGGGCTGTTTGAAAACAAATTAATTTCTTTTAAATAAATGGAATTCTTCTTCGAAAACCAATAAATTTAAGGTACGTTCAGCGGTCAGCCTCTAATCTGTTACAGACAATTAAAAGTCCCCTACAGGCCTCCCCCATATATTGCCACATTGGGGGATATTTTCCATAGTTGTACGTTTGGCAGGTGGTGGGTAGCCGCAGTTTTTTTTATAGGATAGGCTAACAAACTAGTACACAGTCCACCTGATGGTAAGTGGTTGCTGCGGCCCATAGACATCTACATCTATCCTCGATTACAAATCAAAATGCAGATGCGTTGTCACCTGTGAGGACTAAGATGGAATGCCTCGTTTCCAGTAAAAAGGGTGACCCTCACCATACGAAATACAGCAGCATTAAGCTACTATATTACGCTGGTATTCTGTGAGAGCGTGGTTCTTCCCCGGTCGAGCCGACCCATTCGTGCTACAACTATACTACTAATATAACTGCAGTATGGCTCTATCACGTATAAACGTATTTGTTACTAAGAATATGATGCTGCTCATCTAATGGTTTGTTTCTGTCAGTCGTCTCTTCCGACATCCACGGGACGATATGTGGTAGTAAATATTCTTACACAGCCACTGCAGCAGCATCTTCCTAATATCAACGCAAAATAATAAAAAATCTTCGATTGCCAACCCGCCCGCCAAGTAAGCAAATGTTCATTTTCAGAAGTGGACTTTTATAGGCCTTAATGGATGGATAGATGGCCACTACACGGTTTTCTGAAGTAATGGTAATTATGTTCAAGTACATATTTGAGCCGTGGTAGCTCAGTTGCTTAACGCTCGCTGTAAATATAACAGGACGCGAGTAACCGAAGTTCGATCCCCGCAGGCACCAATGAAATTGTAAATTGCAATTTTAAGTGCTGATTTACCACGTGCTCGGCGGTGAAGGATAACATCGTGAGGAAACCTGCATGTCTGAGAAATAAGAAAAAAATATTTCGAAGATTGTGAAGTTCGCCAACACGCATCAGGGCAGCGCGGCGGACACTTCCTTTCCCTAAAACCCTCTCAGAAATGAGAGGATGCCCAGCAGTGGGACGTATATAGGCTGTAACTTTACTTTTAACTTTTTACATATTTGAACTCTTTTGCGTATCGATGGCGGATGTAATCACTGTAAGAACCAAAGCAAAAAGGAATACTTAAGTTTAGTTAAGTTTCAGTTTTATTTGGTATAAAAACTGAGATAAAGGAATTTTGTTCTTTAACTCTTATGCTATTTTAAGCATCATTCCACTGTTGTATACCAGAACAGATTTAATAGAGACTACAACAAAAAATTTGTTGATTTGCACGCCATCCCTTAAACTTTCCGCTGTGTTCGATTTCAAAATTCATTTTAAAAAATATCTTGTGCCCAGGAGTGGGATGTATATATATAAGCTGTAACTTTAACTTTTAACTATTAATGGTTAATGTTGTGGTAAATCGGAGATATTCAAATATTTACATCTAAATCCTTTCGAAAGTTTTAAGTCGTATTTTTATAACATTGAATTTTTTTCGAATTTTATTTTAGTGTATTTTTTATTGTAAGCAGTTAGTACCTATATATTTATATCATCGTGTGTTCCTTCCCAAGATAAAAACGGAAAAATTGACAAAAACTACAAAATATATACCCATCAATCAAAAAATCATGATTTCAATGTCTCATTACATTTGTATGTAAAATATCCCGTTTCACGCACCGGTTTTTGGTTTTTTACAACCCTATAATTGCATTATTACATTATCAACATAAAAAATATCTATCGATTATGGTAAAAACCCATAGGACACTTTTTTTGCGAAAAAACGTAGGTGGGTCGATTTTTTTTGGAGGCCAGTGTATATAATTACTGCAAATAGATTACGCTCAGGATACTTTTCTTCCAAAAAGTTTGTCTACCTACAGACAAAGCTCACTGTGTAGTATGGTCACATGAGTAAAGAAACCGACTCCTTACTTTGTAATGTGGTTCAGTTGATGACTTATTCACTCATTAATGTAATTAGTTAAACTCGAGAGACACAGAGAATTACTGATGCAAAATTTTAAAATAAATATCTACAATTAAGGAGTTTTTTCATCTTTGTTATCAGAACCACTTTCTTAAATAAAATTATAATATTTTTATTATAAAATTTTAGTTTCAGTGATTACGAAACAACAATAATTCTAGTTCTCTATAAGATTTGACACATTACAAATGATGGGCTGATATTTACCTTCGAAACAAAAAATTTCGTCATAAATATAAATTAGCGCTGTTTATTTTAACGTCACTTACCTATCATGGCACCTATATACAATAGGGAGCCTATCCATGATGCCTGAAGATCAGTTATAGGCTCAGGTAGAGGACTCGTTGATTTGTCCTGCAGTTTAGGAATAATTGGAGCTGACCATCCAACACTGTACCCCACTATGATCTGTCCGATGTTAACTGGAAATTATAAAAATTGTTTATTTACATATTAACTAAACATGGTAGAGCCACGCTGCAGTTATTAAAACCAATGCAGGTGAACGCGCCCTATTAAGACGTATTATGAAAGTATATAACACGTATTTTTCAAATATTGACCTATTTACTTTATCACAACCACAATTTCGCAAGAACGTTCTTAGAAGATAGTCAGACATTCAATAGTAACTTAATATTTCATAAGAAAAACTTGTTATTGTTAGCATTTTTTTCATTTTTTTTCTTCTGTCTCTTTTTGATTTTTAATGTTACTGAGTATGTCAACTTTTTTCACTTACACTCTGTTTACTATCATTATTAATATTTATTGTTACTAATTTAATATTACTTTGAGGCTAATGGTGCTGGTTATTTGGTTTAAGTATTATTATGTAATTGTTGGTTGTCCTGAATAAATAAAAATAAAATGTTTGGTTGTAGCGTAAAAGCGTCGGTTCGACCGGAATCCGGCACTCACAGAATGTTAACGTAAAATATCAGCTTCGTTCTTCCTATGGTGAGTGTAGTTAACTGGATACCCTTTTAACTGGTAACGAGTTAATCTATATTCGCAACTACAAGCCATTAAAATTTTGATTCCTAATTGAGGATAGACATTGGTGTCTGTCTATATGCATAGCAACCACTATATAAAAACACATAAATTAAAAAAGCAACATAAACTATATAGCAAATATTTAAAAATAAAATTTTATATAAACTTTAAAAACCTATTCAAAAAATGTTATTACTTTAAAAAGGTTTTAAAAGGGTAATAAATTAATAAAAAATTATTTCTTTATTTCGGATTAAAACAATAAAAAATATGGTTCATATGAGGTATGCATTCACATGTTTTACTATTATTATAAAAAATGAAACTTACTGCAAGCCACAATTAATAATTGAAATTTAATAGACGTCTCCATAACTTTTGGTATTTTTTGTATTTTATCGTATTTGTACTCTGGACGTTCCATTTAGTGTATAAAAAATATTTTATCCTTTAAAATCAATACATTATTAACTCCAATTTAATGGATGTATAACTCCAATGAAGAACAAAACCGATTTGAATCACATATCGAAGTTCGATCTGTGAGAGATTTCATTCATCATGACATCATATGCAACTACATCATATGCAGTGATATAGATAATGAGTATGTTTGTTCAATTTCAGGAATGAACGTAACCGCTCTGAAACGTAAATCGCATAATAAGCTCATAAAATTTAAATAATTATTACAAATCGTTATAATAGTAATTTATGAAACCCGACTGTTTTAAAATGTTTACTGCAAAACACCTCTCCCCCCTTACCCTTCCTTTTACTCTATTTGCAGATATAATACATAAATATTATGTAGTCGTGAGGAAACCTGCATGTCAAAGAAACAAAAGAAAAAATATTGAAGACATGTGAAGTTCACCAACACTCACCGGCAGCGCGGCGGACACTCCCTTGCCCTAAAACCCTCTCAGAAATATGCGGAGGCCTGTGCCCAGCAGTGGGACGTATAGAGGCTGTAACTTTACTTTACTTTTTACTATGTAGTCTTATGTCATTACCACTATTGAGATGAATGTAACGACACCTCCTACATTAAAATCTATTAAGCCGGATAGGCTACAGAGCTTGCCAAAAAATAGACATACAATACATACATATAGCCATGCTGTTCAAAGGATTCGGTTCAACCGGGGTGGGCCCAGGCTTTCTTAGAATATCAGCGTTAAATAGCAACTTTAAAGGACTTAGCCCACTTACACGACTCTGCTCCAACACCGCTCCTACCCAATACCGCCCTGAACTAAGGCGACAGCTAGCAGGCACCCAGCTGTCCACGCGGCGACAGCTTGCAGCTGGCATCCAGCTGTCCACGCGGCGACAGCTAGCTGGCATCCAGCTGTCCACGCGGCGACAGCTAGCAGGCACCCAGCTGTCCTCGCGGCGACAGCTAGCTGGCACCCAGCTGTCCACGCGGCGACAGCTAGCAGGCACCCAGCTGTCCACGCGCCGACCGCCATCGCTTTTTGCGATCGGCACAGTTCGTGGTCAGTTTCCATTGAAGCAACTCGTATTTTTGCTATGTCTCGATTCACAACGCGCGAACTAGCGATTATTGGTATCGTTTTGTGCTAAATGTGGCACGTGGTTCGCCTCTACACGAGGCATCTACTCTCTGTAGACTCTACGGTGGCTGACCGCTCTTCAAACTATATAAAACACATCATTTTATATTATTGAGCGGATGGTTGCAAAGTAACTATTAATATCTTTAGTATAAGGATTTCCGCAAAGTAACGCCTGATTCTATTAATTATTAATATTCTAAGTTTTAAATTTTAATGTCGAGAAAATGTTAATGCTTAATGAAGTAAAAACTTTTTATCAGGTTCATTTGACGTTGTTTTTATTAAAAAGCACACGTCTCAGGAACTATTATATGGAAAGTATTACATTCTTTATTGTTTTTGAATCCGATATATACTTTTTATGAAACTTTTTTTTCCATTTTGGTGGACTGAAGCATGTCTCAATTTTTAAGTAACAACTAGAAATCATTTAAATCTAAAATGCTACATTGAAAAATTAATTCTGGTAGAATTAACTTTGCAATGTAGCTTTTCATTCAAGTTTATTTGTGACCGAAATGACAATAATTTAAATAATAATCGTTTAAAGACGGATCATTTATCTCTGTTCAGCCGTTATCTAAAACTCGGCGATCTATCTTTGTTAAAAATACCGAATTGTATATGTATGTTTAAATATACATGACTTATTAATAAAATTATTCTCATAAAATCATTTACGGATATTTATTCTGCTCTCAAAGAGTGGTAAGCTACGAACACTATGCTTGTTAATGGATTCAACTATATTTGATAAAAAGATAAAACCAATGTTTAATCACAGTATATATACTCCGCGCAAACATTCATTACCAGGATGAAAGAGTTACTAAATAAAAAGGCTATCAGAAATAAATAGACGATAGTATTATGAAACGCACTTTTCCATTTAGATCATGGCTATACTTTCTGATAAATATCAAAATAATTAACGCTTAGAAAAATGATTAAGGACATTAGAAAAAAACTACAAAAATATACACAACTAGAAAAACTAAATCGAATTAGAATTATAGGTTTCCATATAGCAAAAATATATACATGGAATGTATTAACTTAAACTCTTGGGTTTCATTTTACTATGATTTACAGTTTTTTTTTTGGTCGTTTGGACATGTGCCTCTTAAGTAACACGGCAGCTGACTTTCTTTCCCAAATGCTGCTCACTAAAACATGAAGCGTCTGGTCATGGCAACGCTTAGGAAAGGTATAAGGAGAGTTTTGGTTTGGGGTTTCTTTGGATGTCCTAATTCCTAACAAGATATTTGCGTTTGAATTAGAGTGACATAGACTAATAAATCAATAAACTGAAGTAGCAATGAATCATCTATTTACTCCAATGCCTATGTTTATATATATTGCCATTGAGCGGAACCATGGCTCCAAATTCTTTGCCAGAGATCTGTATTTCAGAAAAAGCATAAAAGCAGTGTGAGGATAGTTTTGATACAGATGATGACAGCATTATGCTCTAGCACTTCTTTGGAACTTGGTCTAAAGATCAGAGCACACTGTCAAAGCTGAACACCGTATGTGGCAGCATCGTTGTCGAGACACCTGAGATTCTTAGTGAGATTGAGAGGCTCTATGGGCAGCTGTACATGTTCTTATTGGAGCCACACACAAGTGTGAGCGACGATGCAAGAGCATGTCTTATTCGACACTATACCAATGATATCTCGGACGTCAGTCTGAACAACATTAGAATGGCTCTCCTTAAAAACGGCAAGTCCCCGGGCGAGGATTAAATTACAGCGAAGCTTCTAGAAGCGGGTGAAAAACCGATACTTAAAGTCCTTCAAAAGCTCTTCAATTCCGTCCTCCATGATGGCACTACTCCAGAGGCGTGGAGTAGAAGTGCGGTGGTCTTGTTCTTCAAGAAAGGCGACAACGCTCTCTTGAACAGCTACAGACCGATTTCACTTTCTGAGCCGGGTCTATGTACTGTTTTCGAGAGTCATTACGAATCATCTCGCACACAGCTCGACGACTTCCAGCCTTCCGAACAAGCCGGTTTCCGAAAAGGCTTTAGTACCATAGACTACATACATACCCTTCGGCAAATTGAAAATAAGTCCGAAGAGTACAATCTGCCACTTTTTCTTGCGTATGTAGACTGTGGAGTACTGAAGAAAGCCTTTGATTCCATTGAAACTGGGGCGGTGCCGCAGTTCCTTCAGTAGTGCCAAGTGGACTGGCGGTATATCAAAGTGTTTGTACAGTGGGGCTACGATGACTATCCCAGTACAGAACCAGAGTACGAAACCTATGCAACCGCAGAGAGATGTAAGACAGGGTGACGTAATAATCCCGAAACTCTTTACCACTGCATTGGAAGACGTTTTCGAGCCACTGATTGGAAAGGATACGGATACGATATAGTCTTTTTGGAAGAATCGCTGGAGGACCTAAGCACTATGCTCAATGATCTCAATAGTGTTTTCCCAACGGATAGCTTTTAAGATGAACATGGACAAAACGAATGTCATGTATAATGTCCATGTCACACCTATGTCGGTAGTTATTGGAAAGTAAATTAAAGTTGTTGACGAGTAAGTTTACCTGGAACAAATAGTACGACAATGTAAGTCCAACTTCGACCGAGAGGTCAATCGACGGTATCAACTCGGCTGGGCAGCGTTCGGGAGATTGCGACACATCTTCTCGTCAGGCATACCTCAAAATCTCAAAACTAGATTACGTACAAGTAATACTCACTTTAATTAGTACCTTTTTTTAATCGCTGCTAATCCTAGTAAGGTATTAACTGATACAGGCGATTTCTAGTTTAACTTAACAACAGTGTAACTAAATGCTTTCCTATTTAATACCGTTAAAGATAAGGAAGAGTGGGTACACAGGCGAGGAAACTTAGGAGGACCCATCTACTATATTGTTTGTTTGTTATCTTGAAGAAATAAGCAATTTATTCATACAACGCGTTGAGTAATCTTTTCAACCCCGTTTAATATTTGTACGTTTATAATGTCCGTTTTATCAGTTGTAGCTCGTTATGTTCGTAATGACATGTCAGGAGGTTTGGGTATTGTGGTTGGAAAAATTATTTATAGGAAATTACTTATAGGATGGCTGTAAGAAAATTATCTGTAAAACAATTACCAATTATTGCTATAATTTCGGACTATGGTCAGCAAAACGCGTTTGTTCAGCTGCGTAAAGTTAAAAGTAAAAAGGTTTTGGTAATGTTACGTGCCATGCTCGGAGCGTATTTTTAACTACCAAATATTGGCGTTGTTAACAAACGTTGATAGCCTCAGTGATTTAAGACCCGAGTCAGGCCAAAACTTAATCACTTTTACGTTTTTCAGTCAAGAAATACTCACTAGCAGCCCGTAGACAGGGAGTAAATTTTGGTCTTAATACAACCTCGAATCACGGGGTTACCTCGGAAAGCACGGAAAGCACGGTTCTGCACTTGAACGCCACCCGGTCGTGTCGGATTGCCACGCCATCAAACTATGAGAGAGATAGGGGGAATAGCGAGTACACCTGGGCTTGCATATACACTCAAGCGCTATAATCCTGTCCTACGCAAATGGCTATTCTCCGTTAAGAATGGCTACCGTGACCAAAATTCGATCTGGAGGACATCACTATAATTTGATGACGGTCTGGTCATGACAACTGCCGAATGGTCATGATATGGAACATTCTAGGCAGAAACCTTAATAAGCCATTTAAAAATAGTTGATGCTCGATGAGTGAGTTGAGTCGATGATGTCCACGTGCAACTCGCGCGTTCTCGTATAACGCGTGTCGTGCAACTTAATCCAAAATTAAGTCGCCTTAACTTAAATTAACCCTTTTTATTGATATGCAAATTATAAAGTATAAAAATGTATGTGTTTTGTGATAATGTCTTATATGTGTATTGTATGTGTACTTGCTAAATAAATAAATAGATTCGAGTACCCACAAGAGCTCTTTTTAGCGTATTGCCCGCGACCATTAAGACTGCTTAGAAATTGTCAGAATCTTAAAACATTTCAAAAAAATATTGATTTAAGTAATCAAAATAATGAGCAAGTAAATTACGAATATTGATGTTATGAATATATTTGAGTGATTCTCAAGCATATAGATTAGGTAATTTCGTTGTAATTTCAACTTAGTGATTTTTTGATTTTTATATATCGTTCAAATATCATGATCACGATCGAGTCAAAATCATACAATCGTGTTTTTGAACAAGTAAATTCAAGATAAAAACATGAATTTACTTATATTGAAATTGCAGTTTCGTTAGTGGTGTCATACGATGAAAGGAGGTGCATTTTTCGCGGTGTCGCCTTAATTAACGGTCTGCGAGTCTTCACCACTTTCTTGTCGGTATACCACTAGATATTGCATTATAATCAAACTGTTTGCTTCATCTTTTGTAATAAAAAAGTAAAGTAAAGTGACAGCCTATATACGTCCCACTGCTGGGCACAGGCCTCCCCTCATTTCTGAGAGGGTTTTAGGGCAAAGAAGAGTCCGCCGCGCTGCCCCAATGCGTGTTGGCGAACTTCACATGTCTTCGAAATATTTTTTCCTTATTCCTCAGACATGCAAGTTTCCTCACGATCTTTTCCTTCACCGCCGAGCACGTGATAAATCAGCACTTAAAATTGCAATTAACAATTTCATTGGTGCCGGCGGGGATCGAACCCGGGTTACTCGCGTTCTGTTATATTTAGAGCGAGTGTTAACCATCTGAGCTAACACGGTTCTTATATTTTGTAACGAGTACAGCAAAAGGAATGGAATAATTTGCTGGAGTCTGTCTTTCTATCCGAATACAAACTGGGCGTCAAGCATGATTGAATAGGCTTTTGTTACGCTAAGTCAGTGCGATTAACCATCTAAGTATTCTTCACCGCTTACCATCAGGTGGGATTATGCTCAAGTACTGGCTTATAATAATATAT